ATATATATATATTTCTACACACACACACACACACACAAAGCTGGGGCTTTAGCTCAGTAGTTCTGCTGCCTGCCTTGCAAATGCAAGGTCCCAAGTTTGATCCCCAGCACCCCCCAAAAAAAATAGCTATTAATGTCTGAGAGGAAAATAAATATACCAGAGCATAATAAACCTGGCACACTTGGCCATACAACCTGACTGGGGCTGAGCTGTCCTTTGGTGTAAGCTGTGAGAGCTTACTCTTAATGAAAAGGTAAGAACCTACAAGCACTTGGCTGATCTCCAACAGGAAATTTCCAAGGATGCTGGGATCATATGGATGAGGATGTAATAGTTACAAAATGTGTAGTCTTACTGGAAAGATCTGTCTAGCTGCCCCTTTCCCACCCTGACAAAAGGTGGCATAGTTGTGGGTTAAAGGGCTGTATAAACAAAAACTCTGCTTCCTCACGCCTACCCTTCCTCTGCCCAGGAGATATGGCTAGGGCAGAAGGGATACCTCACCTGACAGCTGACATACCAGCCAGCCACCACCGTCAGGCTTCACACTCTTTTCCCCACCTGCTGCTCCCATTTCATGACTGGGCCTACTATGGAGCAGCCCCCAACCCTGCTGAATGTTGATGTCAGAACAGTTGCTTAGGGCAGGATAAGCATCCACTTCATCGCCTGGCCTCTGACTTCACACTAGGTGTTCAAAGCTGTTGTGACAAAGCATCGTCTCTCATTCAAACTGGTTTTTGGTTTTTTTGGTACTGGGGATTAAACTCTGGTCCTTGCACTTGCAAGGCAGGCCACCGAACCACTGAGCTAAATCCCCAGCCCTCTCATTCAGGACTAAGCAAGGCCAGGGAGCCTTTTAGCACAGTCCCTCAGTGACCCTCACCTCCAGTGTCATTTTTGGAAGATGATGCAATAGGAGTCAGGCAACAAAATAAGGAACATTTATTCTCAAGCAGAAAAGCAAATTCATGTAAAAATGCAACTGGTTTCCAAGAATCTACTATGTCCAAGCCCACAAAAGACCTGGAGGTCCCTGAAAACTATACCTTGAGGTTAATAAAGGAGGGGCAGTCCCTTTGTTTTTTTTGAGACAGGGGTCTCACTCTGTAGTTGACTGGCCTAGAACTCATGGTGATCTTCCTGCCTGAGCCTCCCAAGTGCTCAGAGTATAGGTATGAGCCACCACACCCAACAAGTACTTTTATTGCACAAATGACTTTTTTTTTTTTTTTTTGGTACCAGGGATCGAACTTCAGTCCTTGCACTTGAGAGGTAGGTGCCAGAACCACTGAGCTAAATCCCCAGTCCCAAGTTTATAAAAGTCCTGTGCTTACAGTGCACACACTAAGTGTATGAGATTCAACCCCAATGCCATCTGTTCTTTCCACACCTTCCTTGTGGGTTTCTTCCCAGAATTATGTACAGTGAAAATAATTTTGTGTGGGGGGTGCTGGAGAGAAAAGGTTATTTTTTGTTTCGTTTTTGGTTTTTTGAGACAGGGTCTCACTCTGTAGTTGAGACTCACCTGGAACTCACTATGTAGCCCAGGCTGGTCTCAAACTCACAGTGATCCTCCTGCCTCAGCCTCCCAAGTGCTGGGATTACAGGCATGCACCAAACCTGGCAAGAAAAGGTAATTTTTAAGAGCTACAAATCCTTTTGGGAATAACATGAAGAGTAAAAGCCTACCATTCTCCCTCAATTCCTTCAGTGCATTCTCTTTTCCATATTCTCAGTACAGCTGTGTGATAGGACCGATGCAAGGAAATCTGATTTCTCAGCTCCAGCCTTTCATATCTCCGCTGTATCCAATATCCTGGCCATTGCTAGATCAACTTTCCCAAAAAACTAATTTTATCACTTCTTTTTTTTTTCTTTCTTAGAATGCAGGATGAAATTCAGGACCTTGTGCTTGCCAGCCAGGCGCTGGCACCACTGAGCTAAACTTCTGGCCCTTTTCCCTTTTTTGTAAGAACCTATAAAAAATTACTCCAAGTACCACTTGCTATGATTTGAATGATGATGCTCCCTCTAAAATTCATGTTGAAATTTAATCTCTAGTCCTATAGTATTAAGAAATGTGGTCTTCAGGAAGGTTACTGAATCATGAGGGATAAAAGGAACTAGCATCTTTTTTTTTTTTTTTTTTTTGAGACAGGGACTCATTATGTAGTCTAGGCTGGCCTGAACTCACTGCATAGCCCAGGCTGGCCCTTGAACTCAGGAGGACCCTTCTCCGAGCCTCCTGAGTGCTGGGAGCATTTGGCCCTGGAATTACACCCGTATAGAAGGGCTCAAGGCTGAGCGAGTGCTCATGTGCCCTTCCATCCCTTCCCCATGGGGGACACAGTAGTGCTCTCCTCTGGAGGATGCAGCAGAAAGGTGCCATATTGCATACAGAGAGCAGCTCTTCCCAGACATCAGCCTTGCGGCTGCTTGGATTTCCCAGCCTCTAGAACTGTGAGAAATTTGTTCTTTATAAATTACCCAGTCACAGGTATTTTGTTATAGGAGCACAAACGGAGTGAGATACCATTTAAACATTTTAACAGGTGATCAAAATATAATTTGAATAGAAGGAAAAAATGAAAACAAAGCTTTTGTACATAGAGAGGGGAAGGGGCTTTATGGGGGAATGGGGTTAAAAAATTTAATTAAAAATTTGATTGTGATCAAATAATTCAAATCAATCATCATTTTCTTTCTTTTTGAGGCAGGGTCTCCCTTTGTAATTCAGGCTGGCCTCAAACTCAGCACCCCTCCTACCTCAGCCTCCCAAGTGCTGGGATTATAGGGGTACACCACCACACCCGGCTCTATCATTTTCTTTGAGACTCTGCCCACATGGGAGGCTACCCTCCTCAGTACCCCTCCACTGTACTTCTTTCATCCTGGTGAACTTGTCTTTCTCCTAATATTCATTTCTCCTTCCCGGGGCACTTTTTTGTCACTCAGAAACCTGCTTTTCTCAGGGCTAGGGATTTTGTACAGTGGCACCTCGACTGCCTCACAAGTGCAAGGTCCTGGGTTCAATCCCTGGTACCAAAAAAAAAAAATCCTGCTTTTCTGTTATTTGCAAACTCCATCCCTTTGTGAAACTTTCTCTAACCTCAGAAATACTTACCTTATGATATCAATGGCACTTTATATGAAATAGCCTACACATAAAATAAAAAACAAGAGATGTAAACAACATAGGAAGAATACTTATTTCCAAACCCCATTTCTACTCTTCCTATGACTCAACAGAATACAACGAAAAGACTGAATTTTACTGGCATCAGATTCCTCAATAGTTAACTCACAACCTCTCATTTACCAGCAGAAAAAAGGAATGTAAACAGCAACTGACCAGGGCTCTTGGCCTATGTAGATTTCATAGTGACTCAAGTTGAAGCAACAACTGAAACAGAGAAGTAACATGTTCGCTCTTCACTTATTACTAATAGTAACAACAAAAGAACACATTGCCACTTAATTCTTCTACTCAGAAATGATGTTTTAAGAACATGAATTCTTCAGTTAACATCAATAAAAATACATTAACTGCCAGTGAATACTTTAAAAAAAAAAAAAACCCAAAAGATCCTAGTTTGTGGACAATGAATATGTCCAGAATTTTCCACTGGACTGAATTTTCCTGAGTTTCTCTGTTCAAGTGCAATCTATCAGCTTGTAGATATATATAAATGAATGAATGAATGAATGAATGAATGACTAAAATCCCTGGGGATCAAAGCTCATCAAACAGCGTATTTTTACATCACTGATGTCTCTAGGCTGCACAAGGTCACAGAAGCAATAGACCATTGAGCCCTGGGAGACAGGCACTGGAATGAAAATGGACTGTGAGGGAATGTGATTCACAGTGACATTGGAGAGACTTTCCAGAGGTGTCCGTCCACATCAGGCCTTCGTTAAAAGATAGAAAACCCTCTGGGAGCCTCATCAAGGAAACACTTTTAAACTCAAACTCATATATATATATATACCTTGTACTATACCATGTTGGTTTTTGTGGTTTTTCTGACCAGGGATAAAACTCAGGACCTTGGGCTTCTGAGGCAGGTGAGGCACCACTGAGCTAAATCTCTGGCCCTCAACACCTTGTAGATGGAGCCTATCCAGTGACTTTTAAAGGTTCAAGACCCCAGGTTAAGAGCTGCTAAAACACACTTCTACAGAAGCTGATTAACTTCTACTATTGAAGAATCTGCTGCACACCTTCCCATTTTCCTTCTCAGATCAGATTTAGGGCTACAACAGTAGAAAGGTTTTATGTGTTGGGAGAAGCGTAGTCAGTCTGCAGCCTAATGGGCCGCCTATATGCTTCTTTAAATACGGGCCATGTTTTTAGTTATTTCACGGTTGGTTCACAGACCTCAGGGGAGCACTAAATTTCTTCCTAAAATGGGTCAGTTAACCAGAAACACCGAGGAAACAGTGTATATAATCCAATACCTAATGGGAGAAAGTGGTGGAGTTGGCAGTCTCCTTCTTCATGATGTCAGAGTAAGGAAACCATCTGGAAGCTGACATTGGCCACTTCCCTTCCTAGGTGATAGATCTGATCTTAAAACACAAAAATATCCAAGAAAAAATCTGGAATGCGAGTAGTTTTCATCATATAAAACCTCTTCCATGGCTGGAGATACAGCTTAGTGGTAGAGTACTCTCCTAGCATGTGCAAGGCCCTGGATTCGATCCCTAGTAATGTTAAAAAAAATTAAAAAAAAGTAAAATTCCTCTTCCAGGTCCTCTGTATCAAGCTCAAAGAGGTGAGAACTCTCCTTTGGGCTAGGAGTTCAGACTACTCTTGCAAATGAGTTTCATCTCACCTTTGCTCTATCACTCTGGGGATGCCAACAGCCTTGGTCATGTGTGGAAAAGTGTCCACTTCTAATGCTTCCTCTGTATTTTATACACAACGGCCAAGTAAGGATGGACCGAAGGCCTTGGTGGTGATGCTTTGCTTGGATAGATGAGTGGCTGTAGTCCATCTATTGGTCCCTAATTGCACCTATTTATATTCCAGGCACTGTAAACACACATGTTCAGAATCCTTTTACAATCCAGATGCCAAATATCTGTAATCATTTCCCAGCTGTGACAAAAACTGCCCTGTGGGATCTGGAAGCAAAGCAAATATTTGTGACTACTGTTGACCACATATGGAGTTGCCTTGAGATGAGCCACTGGAAACAAACATTCAATTTTCACTTTCAAACCTCAAATCACTGTATAGTTGCTTGAGGATACTATGTATGGGTCAAGGTGTTCTTGGAAATATAAAAAGGACACTGCAAGTGCCTGTGAAACCAGGTTTTGTTGCAAGCCTGGGCTCCTACTCATTCTCAAGATGCCTATTCCATAGCACTTATTTAAGCAAAAGGTAAAGACCCACCAATAATCAAATGTACAATAAACAAACTATCTGCTGAAAAGAATGAGTCACAGTCCAGAGACACAAACCTGCACACAAAGGTCCCAAGTTTGGCATTTTAGTCCATCACAGCAAATCCCGTTCTGGTATGGGCATCAGGACAGAGGTACTGGCATTGCTCTGTTAAAAGCAGAAGTTCACAGGGCTGCTCCTTTGCCTCATGCCATCCTTCAGACAAAATGACTGGGCTTCCTCCACACATATCCTATTGGGGCTTCTCCCTGTGTTCCCTCTTCACCTCTACTCTGTCACTTTCACATGTGCTGAAGGCTGGCCTGTACACTCCCAGCCAGAGAAGGAGAGATTGTCACGAGGGAAGCTGGACACGTAATCTGCCACAGCATCTAGATTAGCATATTGTTGAGAAAATGCTGGCCAAAAAAAGACCAAATATCCAAAAGTAAATTTTGTGTATTCACGCCTAATCCTTCAGTTGTATAAACAATTATCCTACCATTCCCCATCATTTTCACAAATTTTGGTCAAGTCCAAACATAATTCAATGAGGTAGGTAGTTTCTTCCTCGTGCCTTGTCTGTGGTAACCGTCGAGGCTGGGGCAGCGCAGCACAGAACTCCGCGAAGGGCGGTGACGAGGGCGGCACCAGTGACTGGGGAGCTTCTCAGTTGGCTATTTTCTCAATCTCATCCAAATCATCCGTGTCCAATCTTTCTATCTTCTTATCTGGGGGAAAGAGACCGGCACGGGGTTGCCATGAAGATGCAGCTCAAGTCACCCAGAAGGGGACAGCGGCAGGAAGGCGGGAGACAGACCCCACCTAGCCTCCGAAATCCACTCCCTGGGTCACAGGGATCCTTCACCTAACCACAGAGGCTTCCAGAGCACGCGTGTCCATCCACCCGCGGTCACTAGCACTGATACTCGAGAGTCTCAGGCGCCCCAGCCAGGCCACGGGGTGAAGGCCCCACATGTGCTCCCCAGGAAGTCAGGAGGGTGGGGAACGAGGGGAAAGGAGCAGGCACAGGGACAGTGGTCCCTCTCAGGGCCACAGGAAAACCCTCCCTTTGCCACCTGTCCCTGTGGAAAGGACAGCGGGCAGAGGTGCCCAGGGACTCACTAAAATGCTCCTGGATCCTGTTGAGGATGTTCATGCTGTGCTTGCTGTCCACCATGTTCACGGCCAGGCCCCTCTTGCCAAAGCGGCCGGTGCGCCCGATCCGGTGCAGGTAGGTCTCGTTGTCCGGGTTCCCGTCCTTGTCCACGGGGAGATCAAAGTTGATGACCACAGACACTTGCTCAACATCGATTCCTGCAGAAAGGGTGGGATGCGGAAGGGAGTCAGGGCGGGAGATGATGTCCCGGGCACCCACAGTCAGCCACACACCCCCAGTCTGGAAGAGGAGGCTGGGACCTCTGGGTTGTGGGCACAGAATGGCACACACAGGCCTGCGGCAGAGCTGGATGGAGGAAGAGAGCACACTCCGGCAGGTGCAACAAGCCAGGGAAACCAGAAAGCCTCTCTGCAGACAGGGGAGCCCAAGATGCTGCCCGGGGGTAGCAGGGCCTTTCTGCCTGAGCACCGCCTCCCACCAGGGCGGGCCCCTGGCGTCCCTTACACTGGAGGGGGATCCGGGCTCTCCTGGACGGGAAAGTCACACCGCCAACCCCACTGAGAGCAGCCCAGTGTCCTGGATATGAAGATTCCTCTCACAGCTGGAGCCCGGACCCCGAGCAGGCAGAGCAGGGTCACCTCTGCTCACCTCGGGCACACACGTTGGTGGTCACCAGAACCTTCTCTTTGCCCTCTCGGAAGCGCTCGATCACCGCAGCCCTCTGTTCCACCATCATCTCGCCACTCAGCAGGGCCACCTGGTGGCCTTCTTTCGACAGCTCTGCTGCCAGCCAACTAGCTGTTTTGCGGGTCTGAAGGAAGCCAAGAGAGTTATTTTACATGAAGACCTATACCAAAGCCAAGCCAAGATCCCCACCGAAACATGGCTTGTCACGGTTAAAACACAAGCCCTTCATTAATTCAGTGAGCAGTCAGCATCAAATTTTAGCCAAGCTTTGTTTGGATGAATTAACTCCTCTTACTTTTCCTCTAGGAAGATTGTGCGCTGAGCCAAAGAGCTGCGTTTCTCAACAGTCCACATCCGTAATGTTTAAAAATTATTCCACTGGATGTTATTTAGGGGTTTTATTCCCAAGCAATTTCTAAGAAGTTGGATCATACAAGGCTTGGCTCATCACAAAGTCCTCCCCTTAAAACTCAAGATCCTGAGATGATTGGGGGGCGTGATTCTCATTTTCACACAGTGGAATTCTGGTCCAAAGCAGGGGGTGGGGCTGAGGCAGCCCTCACAGGCCCTGCTGCTACTCACATGGCAGAAAATCATGGCTTGAGCGATGGTGATGGCCCCATAGAGATTGCACAGAGCCTGGAACTTCTCGTCTCTGTTGCTGCACAGGACATAATACTGCTTGATGGTATCCAGGGTCTCCTCCTCGCGCTTCAGTTTGATGATGTTGGGGTCTGGGACCACTTTCTGGGCAAACTGCCACACAGAGTCTTCAAAGGTAGCAGAGAAAAGCAGCATCTGGCAGTTCCTGGGCAGCATCCTATAAGGACCCAGGTGAGAGTAGAAGGATCAGAAGCACTATCTCCCCAGATCAGACGGGCTCTAACCACAGCAGGTGGCACAGGCTCCCAGGTCTCCTGTCACAGGCCAGGCTGGGAGTGTGGTCAGTGCCGATGTGGAAATGACCCACAGGCCAACGCTGTTGTTCAGACCAAGGAAAGAACCCTACAGAAGCAAGAGGAGGCCCTGACAGCTCCTCCTGGCCTGAGCTCCTACCTCTGGATGCGGATGCTCTGATCCTGGTGGCCCTGAGTAGCTATCATCACGTCGGCTTCATCCAGCACAAACACCTTGATCTTCTTGGGGTCAATGAACTTGAGCTTGGAGCACCAGTCCAGGACGGTCCCGGGAGTGCCGATGACAATCTGCTCACTGATCTTCTGACCTCTTTCCACTGTGGAGATGAGATGTTTGCTGGGGGTGTGTCCAAGGCAGAGCCAGCTTTCCTTCTGCAGTACTATGAATTTAATGCTAATTTTTTTCTTTTTCATTTTGGTATTACTGGGAACGGATCCTACAGTCTTTGCACTGAGCTATATCCCTAAACTTTTAATTTTTTATTTTGAGACTGGGTCTAAGTAACTAAATTGCCAGTGTTGGGTCAAACTCACTCTGCTCTGACTCTCTACCTCCCAGAGTCCTGAGGTTACAGGTGTGCATCATCACACCTCATCACCCATCTTAAGCTAGTGTTTTTGTTTGGATTACTACTTTGGGGGAAGATAATGATAGCATTTAGGACAAAAGTTATGAAAGTATATAGTAAAGATATAAACAATAAAAACATGAAAAAAATTTTTTGGTGTGGGTAAGTGGTGCTTAGCTACATGACCAGCCATGTTTTTTTTTGTTGTTGTTGTTGTTTTTGTATCAGGGATTGAACTCGGGTCCTTGCGCTTGCAAGGCAGGTCACCGAAATGCTGAGCTAAATCCCCGGCCCACCAGCCATGTTTTTTAGGGTTTGAGATGAGGTCTCAGTTAAGTTGCTAAATGGCCCAGTCTGGACTTATACTTGTGATCCTCTTGTGTGCTCTACCACCCCTAGCTTGCTTGTATATATGTATGTATGTATATATTTATTTATTTGTGGTAACTGAACACAGGAGGGTTCAGTTAAACCCAGAGGCATCTACCACCAAGCTACATCCCCAGTTCTTTTTTATTTTGAAAAGGGCTTTGGTAGATTGCCCGGGTTAGCTTCAAAATTGTGATCCTCTTCCCTCCACACCTCTCAGTGTGCTGGGATTACAGATTGTGCCTTCATGTGACTTCATTTAATGTTCTGGGTTTTTTGGGGGGGCACCAGGGATTGAACTCAAGCCCTTGCGCTTGCAAGACAGGGGGCAGAACCACTGAGCCAAATCCCTGGCCCTGTGATGTTTTATTATTTATTTGTTTGTTTTGTAATGTTTTAAATAATGGGTATGTTTAAATTTTTTCATAGCATAAACAATACTAATAGGTAAGTGATTCAGTATCACATAGTTATACTCACATTTATTGCCTCGAACAGCGTAAGCTAACTTCAGTTCAGGGTAAAATTTACCCATCTGTTCAATCACTTTTCCTGTTTGAAGAGCGAGCTCATATGTTGGGGACAGGCACAGACACTGGTAGGGAAAGAGTGCAGAACAGAAGTTCAATACAAAAATCTCTTGCCCAGGTTCATTCCATTACAATGCCAAGGCTCATTCCCATTGGAACCTAGTCATTTTTAGATCTGAGGGTGAAGGAAAGAATATGCAATTAAAACGTATATCATTTGATTCTTTAGTGCAAAAAGAATTTTTTTTGGGGGGGGGGCAGAGATGGAACTCAGGACCATGCACATGTGAGGCAGGTGGCTGCACCACTGAGCTAAATGCCTGTCCCTAACATTTGATTCTTTCAGCTGCAGAGCTGTAAGCTAGAATTCTTAGGGTTCAGAACTCTGGCTGGGTAAAAACCTTTGAAAACAATTATGGGCCACTGAAGCACAGAAACCCGCCCATGAGGATGGATCTGAAATTCCACATGGAGATGTGCTTCCTTTTCAGTTACTCGGAAAGTTCTGACAACTTTCTTATGGATGACAGCTGCAGATGCAGGCTTTTCCTGTAATTGAAAGAGTAACGCCTGTGAGAAGTATCCCAGAACTGGCAAACCATGGAAGAATGGAATAAGATTTTTGTTACCACCAAAAGATCCACTGTAAAAAGAGGTGCTTTAGTTCCAGTATAAGAAAAAGCAGTAGGAGTCGGGTGTGGTGGCGCACGCCTGTAATCCCAGCACTCCAGAGGCTGAGGCAGGAGGATCCCTGTGAGTTCGAGACCAGCCTGGGCTACATAGTGAGTTCCAGATCAGTCTCAACTACACATAGTAAGATCCTGTCTCAAAAAGCCAAAAAACAACAAAAAAAAAGAAAGAAAGAAAAAGCAGTAAAACCTTGAATTTTAAGCCATTAATGGAATTCTTTGTCTAGGTTTTTATTTTCTTTGTTTTTGTTTTTTTTTTTTTGGTACTGGGGATTGAAATCGGGTCCTTGCACTTGCAAGGCAGGCCACCAAACCGCTGAGCTAAATCTCCGGCCTAATTTTCTCTTTTTATTATTATTATTATTTTTTTTGGTTTAGTTGGTTTTTTTGTACCAGGGATCGAACTCAGGACCTTGTGCTTGCGAGGCAGGCATGGTGCCACTTAGCTAAATCCCTGGTATTTGTTAAGAAGAAACCCAAATTCACCAAGTCCTTACCTGGGGGTATTTGTTTGCAGGTTCTACTTGGCTGAGCATGGCCAACACAAAGGCAGCTGTTTTGCCAGTACCAGACTGGGACTGCGCAATTAAATTCTGTGAACTGCACAGGAAAATAAACTGTTTAGAAGCTTAGAAGCTTAAATGTCAGTGCATTTTTAGTTAATACAAATGAAGAACAGACAGCTAAAATGGCATAGTACCATAATCCAGCTACTCAGGAGGATTGGGCAGGACAAAAAAAAGTTGGGGGCTGGGGATGCAGCTCAGTGATAGACTGATTGTCTAGCATGCACAAGGCTCTGGATTCAGTCTTGAGTATCACCAAAAAAAAAAAAAAGAGGGAGAGAAGTTTAAAATAAAAACTTTTAAAAATAGAAAAATGCCAGGCATGGTGGTGCATGCCTGCAATCCCAGTTCCCAGTACTCAGGAGGCTGAGGCAGAAGGATTACTTTGAGTTCAAGGCCAGCCCAGCCCACGTAGTTCAAGGCTGGCCTGCACTACAAAGTGAGACCCAGTCTCAATAAAGAGATAGATAGATAGACAGATAAACAGGATAGACCTGTTTCAGGATACATACGGTTCAGCAAGCATCAAAGGCAATGCATTCTCTTGTATTTTGGATGGGCGGTTGAAACCCATGGCATAGACTCCCTGGAGCAGCTGTGGTTTTCTAGAAAAACCATTAAAGATGAAAGTTAGTCTCTTTGATTAATGAATGTAAGAAACATTTGGAAGATTGTTTTGTTTTTGTTTTTGTTTTTTTTTTTGATACTGGGGATTGAACTCAGGACCTTGCACTTGCCAAGGTAGGCGCAGTGTCACTGATCTAAATCCCCGGCCCATCTGGGAGATTTTTTTTCTGTTTTTCAGCATTACATGCAGTTTGTAAATAACAATAACTGAGTCAAACATAATGTATGAATATAGCAAAAGCCTTTACAGATTACTGAAATTTTATTAGATAGCCCAAAGCAGCTAAATCCATTTAGTAACCTCTTGTTAGCTAAAAATGTTCTACTGTAGGCAAAAATACGACAGGTAGGGGCCAGAGATTTAGCTCAGTGGTTCGGTGGCCTGTCTTGCAAGCACCAATGACACGAGTTCAATCTCTGGTAGAAAAAAAAAAAAAAAAAAAAAAAAAAAAAAAAAAAATATAAAGACAGGT